ACTTGCCACTGAGGCGATGGATGCAATTTATAATCAGATTTATATTCCAATCATTACTTATGCTTGTGGAATTTGGGGAGGTGATGTTTATAAGACTCATATAAAGCGTAAACTTATTTCGTCACAACGTAGAGCTCTTATTCAGATCACCAAGGCCTACAATACCACGCCCAATATCTCTATTCAAGTTCTGGCTAAGAAAGCCCCTATTGATCTTATCATCACCTCCTATTTTAAACAATGGCAAATAAAGCATGGCCTTGATATTTATACTAGCAACCAACAAATAAGTCACACCGACTTGGAACAAGAAATTTCTTTTGTCATTTATTCACAATCTTTGGCCCTTTCGTCCACACCGTCAATCGTCTTCGAGCAACCCTCTTACAATGATTACGAAATCTTTACGGATGGTTCGAAAACAGATATAAAGGTTGGTTGTAGTTATGTTGTTTACCAGAACGGGCAGGAGATTGCTCTGGGCCAGTTCAGATTGGGTGAACAATGCACTATTTTTCAAGCAGAACTCTATGCCTTGAAAATGGCCATTACTTGGGCTAACAATGTCCAGCATAAACAAATAGCTATCATTACTGATAGCTCTTCCTCTATTGCAATCCTTCGTAAAAGATCCTTTCACCCAATCGTTTATGACATTAACACTCTCATTTCCAAGTCTTCCAATCGATATTATATTTACTGGACTCGTGCACATATAGGTACCCATGGTAACGAAAGAGCTGATGCCTTAGCTAAGGCAGCTTCCAACGATAATAGTCTTAATATCTCTTATGATAAAATCAGCACCAGTACTCTCAAAAGAATTCTCTGGCAGGATTTCCTATTAACTTGGCAAAACACCTGGGACCAACATAACCACCCTATTACTCATAGATTTATACCTTGTATCAAGACCTTTTTTACATACAAATGGTACAGACCTAATAGTTTTGTTACGCAATTTCTTACCGGCCATGGTCGCTTTCAATCTTACCTAGCGAGATTCATTAACGAAACCAGTTCAATGTGCTCCCTGTGTGGTGTTACAGATAGTAATGTGCACTACATTTATGAGTGCCCCATGCTTAATTTGAAGCGACATATACTGCTTACCACTATTAATTCACATGGTCACAACTGGTCTGACTATGACACAATCTTTCGTGAAAAAGACTCATATGAGGCCTTTTTCGACTTAATCGCCAAATACTTTGCACGTACTACAGTCAGTGGCTTTTAGTCAGCTTTGTACTCAATCACTCTCTTGAGTATGAGCGATACCATCTTATTCCGATTCATCAAATAACTCTAATTTCAGCAGCCATCATGTTACACATCATCAGCCTCAGGATGTCTGGCATACGTCTAGTTTATCCTGATTATTCAGTAGTTACACCGCTCGATCGTCGGTGTTTTCTGTATTGTATTGTGTTATTGTATTATGTACCTATTACGCCTGTGTATTTTACCATTATATTATAATTAATTATGTATTTTGTAACACCTATATCTATCTGTATCTTTATTATTGTAATTTGTTATCACCGGGTAGTGCTCACTGCGGAACCCGGCATGTACCATTGTGTGAGTTAATAAAGAAATGAATGAATGAATGAATTCACACAGTCGTTTCGTGTAAGTACGAAATATTTGCTAAATATCATTATTTCTCACTTACACCGGCAAATGTCGACATTCAGCATGCACTAACGGTGAATGTTGAATAAAAACATTTTTATTACGTTAAGACAAAAATGCAACTTTTTAAAATTACATCTTACTGTATAATTATAACAGACTTGGGATGGATTTTAGAATTTTAATTTCCTTTTCAAGCAAATCTGCATTTTAAATACATTCTTCTCATTACTAACGATTTGAATAAACAAATACAGATTTATTTTAATGAAATAGCGATATTTCATGTGTAATAATTATATTTTACACGTAGTCAATTATACTTTCTCTAGGATAATGCGACATTGCTGGGGGGGGAAACAATACCATCGTGAAATCTACATATTAATTTAAAATGTAATTGCCAGCTGAATACTGTATAGACTTTGAAATTGGTAAACATACTTGGAGCACAAAAACGGCGGCATTCCTCTAAAGTTTGGAAATTGTTTCTGTTTCCGCCACATCCACCATAAACGAATAGCAGGCAATCACGAGTAAAAACATTATAATAAAAACGAATCGTTAATCTGTGACATGGTCCTTTCTTTATCTGGCCGAAGATTACATACCATTTGTCTTTCTAAATTCAGAATTAATTCAAATTAATGAAAATATGAATATTCTAATCGCACGAAAAAAAAAGAAAAACGATTCTTACCTTGAGCATCGGTACTGATGCAAAGAATTAATATAACGATGCAAACCAATTTTGTATTCATAGCTATTGATATATTATATATTTACTCGCCTTTATTTATACTGCAATTTTTATAGCTGGAAATTATACACCTGACACGCAGATATATTGACACATTTATCATCATTAAATTTCATAATAATATCGCGATATTGTAAATGACTTTCACATGTTTTAATTAAGGCTAAAAAATAGGAATTTATTCATAAATAATTTCAAAAAATTCCATTTATTTCAAAGCGTTAATCATGCACGTGTCGATTAAAGTGCAAGCCTGGAAATCGAATCCGGGAGAGCAAATCCTCAGGACTTTTTTATGGGGCGCCAGATCAACTGGCGTACGCCATAGGGAGAGTTCGAGAGTTCGATTTTGGGGAGAGTTCGAGAAAATCGACGAAGGTGAATTCCATCGATTTCAAAACAAAACTTTAGACAGTTAGAACAAATTCACTTACTTATCTCAAGTTATTAAAAAGTAAACACTTTCTTAACAATTCATTAAGAGTTTTTACTCCAATGAAAAGGGACAATTGGAAGTCCGTTTTGGTAGAGAATAATTCTCAATACTTATAAAAGTATACGTTCGAGATCTTTCTCTAGGATTACAGAAAAATAATTCAGTTAATGGGAATTCTTTAAGAAAACTTTATGATCAACATCAAACAAAATTCCAATCATTGGAAGCATTACGAGTCGCTAGAGATAAGCGTTATAGATGTTATAGCCACTAGTTGATTAGTCTTTACCAGACGAGACACTTCGTTGTTGGGAAAGATTTCTGTTAGATCATCGTATGTTTAGAGAAGAAACGATTTATGAAATCATTCTTGTAACCAAGTAATGTTCACAAACTCATTGTGTAGGACGATCTTGATCGTTTGTATCGTTTCAAAATGCAGTTGATGAAGTGACGATACACTTGACCATCAAACAGTTTGATTCATTCGTTCCAAATGAGCTTTCTAATAATATAGGAGAGAAAAACACTTATAAGAGAGGTAAATTATTATTCATATCTTCTGCAGCTGACTTATTTGCTTCTTCCATAGAAGGCTTTCAGAAGATTTGTGTATTTTGTTCTAGACATTATAAGTCAGAGAAAAGTTCAAAAAATGTCATTATAAGAAAGAAAAGGTGTAAAAGTTTCCCGATGATTCGAGTTTGTCCATCTGAAGAGGGAAAAGATAGAGAACTATCACCACAGAAAGACAAAGCACTTGCTAATTTAGTAAAATTCCTTGTATGATGCTGCAAACATTGATTGTTTTGTTCAGGGGTCAAAGAATTAAACGTACAGTACAGTACCTGTTCGGGGTTTACGGTTCATGGTATTCAGTTTACTGATTTTCAGTGTGAATCAATTGTACTTTTCATTGGCGCTGATGTGAATGATAACTTGATGACAGACGGATATAGGAAGCTTTCTTGTGGTCTCGCAGCTGTAGAATTTAAATTAGTTTGGACAGTCATGAGCCACCTGCTCAAACATTGTCTAATGATGCAGCCATGATCGTTATTTCTATGTTGAATGAAGACGTTTGTATTTCGGATTCATGGACTTTCGATTCATTAGGTATTAATGATCTTTCAGAAAAGAGAACTACACGATTCCGCAGAACAACATTTTTTCAGCACTGTCAAATTAGATAATACCGTGCGTTTTACAATTATTTACCGTGAATTGAGACATTCCCCACTTCCAGACTATTATGAACTAGCTTTCAAGAATTGAATTCGACAATTAAAGAACTTAAATAAGAAGGTTTCTATCAAACCAACGATGATGTATTTCAAGAATGACTTCTTCATAATAGTATAGAAGATTTGTCTGCAAATGAGATTTAAGCTTCTTGTTATTATTTACCACCCAGACCTGTAGTCAACAAGAATAGCACAGCTAGAATAAGACCCGTATTTGTTGCATCGGCTAAGCAAAAGAGATTGCCCATTCTTCACGAATGTCTTGCAAAAAAATTAAATCTCATTGAATTGATTCCTACAAATAATTTAAACTCGTATTCATTTGGAAGAAATAGGTGCATTGGCAGATATTTGTAAAGCTTTTCTACAAATCAGTTTGCTTCCTAATGATAAGAACTTTCTCCGATTTCTATGACACGAAAATGATGGACATTTGAAACAATAGACATTGTAGATTGATGTTTTGTGTATGTTGTAGTCTCTTTCTTCTGAGAGCTGTGATCCAATATCTCCTTCAGTCAGTTTTAAAATTGATCAAGAAAAGAGAGTCGACATAACCAGAAGATGATATTCCGAAAATCATGAAGAGTTTTTTGTATTGGTAAATGGGTGACAATTGTTCAAAGTAAATTAAAGTTGCAACGTTTTGTGCAAGAAATGAAAAGTTTATCGTCGAAAGGAAGTTTGAGTTGAGAAGGTGATCTTTCTGTAAACAGTAGCAGATACAAAAGTTTTAGGAATAATTCGGCAGTAAAGTAATGAGACATTCGAATAATTGTGATGAATCTGAAGAATGTGTTTCGAAAAGATTACAAAGAAATTAATTTTAGCAGCAGCTCATCGTATTTACGATAAACTAGGTAAGATCCGTCCAGTACTTTGATCCTTAAGTGTGGAGATAAGAAAAGGATTGAAGTCGTGGTAAATTGGAGAAAGGGGAAGGTGATATAATCGTTATCATTTTAAATTGACAGAGAAATTTTCTTAACTTTGGGTTATTTAAATTTCATTTTAAATCGTTAAACAATCGATAAATGTTGTTCCACAGTTAGTAATTGTCTTTCTATCCGCAAATGTTTAATTTTATTTCCAATTCGACTTAAAATAAAGATGAATTTAGATTCAGAAAATGGGATTTAGCCTCGATGGAAGTTAACAGGAAGGAAAAGACCGTTTGGAAGGAAGAAGGAATGTCTGAGAGAAAAGGTATCATTTCGAATTTCTGCATAGAAGGCATTGTAGATATTGGAAAAACAGTTTTTCCAGCAAATATTTTTAAAGGTTTCTAATTTTCAAGATCTATTATGTCTAGTTCATATAATAATGATCTCTCTATCGAAGAAAGAAAACGGTACCTCGTGAAATTAAACCCGTATCTTACTGTTTTGTTTCTCTAATAACTTTTATGACATTTTACGACTTCAGATTTTCTAGAGACCTAGAGAAGAGTCATTACCGAAAATTATGTATGGGGTTATTTATAACAACTTGAGTAAATCTGGAATTTACACTGCAGAATTATTACAAGCATATAAAAGTTTACATGGTTACAATTATTTTATCGGCGCGAAAATTCGAGATATTTTGGCATATTTATCAAATGAAGTACAGTAGATATGTTTTACGAAAAAGTAAAAACTGGTCAATACGAATTGAAAAACGGAAAGAAATACAGTGAAACCTAGCATAACGAGCAAAACAAATCATAGCCTATTATATAATAAACAACTCAAATGCTCATAAACAACTCAACTTTACATATGCCAAATTCTTGGCANCTTTTATCTCACGAAAAGAAAAGATTCTTACTTGTTGCATCGGTATTGATGCAAAGAATTAACATAACGATGCAAACCACTTCTGAATTCATAGCTTTTGATATTTTATATTTACTCGCATTTATTTATACTGTGATTTTTATAGCTGAGAATTACACACGTGACACGCAGATATATATATATATTAATATATATTAATATAGTATATTAATGATGATAAATGTGTCATAATATATATATGTATATTAAGACACATTTATCATCATTAAATTTTGTAATAATGCAGATATTATAAACGTCTTTGACATGTTTTAATTATGACTCAAAAAATAGGAATTTACTCTAAAATAATTTCAAAGTATTTCATTTATTTCAAAGCATTAATCATTCACGTGTCTATTAAAGTGCAAGTCTGGAAATCGAATCTTGGAGAGCCAATCCTTAGGACTTTATTATGAGAGGCCAGATTAACTGACGTTCGCCATAGAATTCGGCTGCAAAGTGAATTTTTGGCCTATTTATTTTAAATATAGAGACGTTAAAAGCGGCACAGAAGATTGCTTACGAAAGTATGCAATGAATACGAGAAAGAAGGTGAGTTATCGGATAATGAAAATATTATAATGTTAAGTCTAATCAAACAGAAGGCGAAATTGATGCTAATAGTTGAGGACAAAATTAAAGAAATACTTTTGACAGAAACTAAGGACAATGATATTAGATTTTAGATGAAGGTCTGTTTGCAAATGGGATTAAAGAGTCTTGTCATTATTTACCACATAGACTTGTAGTCAATAAGAATAGCCCAGCTAGAATAAATAACCTGTATTTGATTCATCGGTTAAGCAAAAGAAATTCCCCAGTCTTAACGAATGTCTTGAAAAAGGATTAGATCTCATTGAATTGATTCCTACGATTTAAGTTCGTATTAACTTGGAAAAAATGGGTGCAGAGGCAGACATTCGTAAAGCTTTTCTACAAATCAGTTTGTTTCCTAATGATAAGAACTTTCTCTCATTTTTATGGCATGGAATTGATGGACATTTGAAACAATAGACATTGTAGATTGATGTTTTGTGTATGTTTTAGTGTCTTATTCTGGAAGCTGTGATCCAGTATCACCTTCCGTCAGTTTTAAAATTGATCAAGAAAAGAAACATATCCAGAAGGTGTTATACGGAAAATCATGAAGAATTTTTTACATTGATAACTGCGTAACAATTGTTCAAAGTAAATTAGAGTTACAATGTATAGTGTAAGAAAAGAAAATTTATCGACGAAAGAGTTTGAGTTAAAAATGTGAAGAAAACCCGAAAAACTGCACGTGACCAGCCCGTTAGAGAGGCTCGAAGTCACGAGTAACTACCAACATTTATTGGTTTTATCCACTAGCCATCGGTGGGCCCAGAAATGGCTGGTTCCTGAAACAACAAAAATTGCTGTAAATATACTTTGTCATTATTAAAACAGACACCAGATTGATAGACACATGTTGTACAGTAATATTCAATAAAGTGTGAGGAAACAGTTTATTGAATATTACTGTACAACATGCAGTTGCGAGCAATATTAGAATTTTATTCTCTAAGCCAACGATTCATAGGCAATGCTTTTCAAGCTGGGTTTTTATGCAATGTTAAGCGTATGCTTGGCTTCTGAGTGTAAGCTTTTTCTGAGACAAAAATGAAAAAACCCAGCAACGAGTTATTTTACTTTCCCGACAACAGTTAGTGTCACCAGCTGTTACGATATTTTATTAAAAAGAACTTTTCATATTTTTATTTATTATAAAATGGTGAAAAAACCTTTATTTTGAGAGTAGGAATGAGTTTTGTAAAAAATTGTAAATGCTAATAACGTATAAAATTACCATTAAGTCAGACCCTACTGAAGATATACACGACCCTCGTTATCTCCTCACCCCTCGACCTTTAACCACCAAAACTTAATAGCGTCAATTCTCTAATAAACCATGCAAAAGTTTAGAAAATTTAGACAAAAGCACAGGAACTATCAAGCTTCAGAGGAGATGAACAAAATCGTGTTCCCCATACATACACTAACATTCATACAGAGGAAAAACATTCCAAAGTCCAAAAATGTAAAGATTTTGGGATTTATTTTTTGACCAATAGGCATACTTTTTTCCTGTTATACATAACAGAGATGGGAAGGTAAAACGGGAAAACTTAACTGGCCATCCGTAATTTGTACATATGACAATCAACATTAATCATTCACCCAATGATAGAGTGCCGATAAGCTATTATTGTTTCAATCCAGAAGCTACGACCACATACCTCAGCGGTTAATATCTTTCCGAAAAATTGCTGGAGTTTGCGACAGTCCGGATTCGGACACGGATTTCCACGAAAAATTTATTATTTTTCTATATTTTTTAATGTAATATGTTAAAAATATTCTAATTTCTACTGGTATAATAAGATAACAAGAAACGAGGGTGAAGATCCTCCTGAAAGGTATGTCTATGAGAAACTGGCTACTATTTAAGACACGTGAAAACGACATAGAAAAATCCACGCTACCAGATGGGTAGGAAAGAAAAGATTTTCTTATTCATTACAGGGCATAAAGACTCAAGATAAAGAAAAACATTAATCTTAATATACGTAGAATTTATGTAGATATGCAGAAATATTATGAAACAAAATTATATGTAATCTAATAAGTATTTTAGTTGAAAGAACATAAACAATTAAATGTAACAGAAGTATTTTACGTGTCATGACATCATTTTTTGTCAAGAGCCATACTGCATAAATAACATCCCTGCTGGCTTTCCTGCCAACTGTATCTTCCTTCAAGGTACCAATACATATCCTTGGGCTGTTTCCATCGCTATTGGGGACGATCTTTCCCTCCTTCACCACAGTTCTATTAGTACACAATACGTCAGTTGTACTGAGTTGGTTATCAATAACCGCAGACACATTCTTATCAATTATTACTGCCCTAAAGATATTCATATTGAGGATATACTAGATTACATTCAAAACATTATGGGTAAATTTACAGATGTATATTACATCTTGGCCGGAGATACAAATGCTCATTCTCCTATTTGGGGAGGGAATCGTTTGGACTCACGTGGAAAATATGTTGAAGAGTT